TGTCACATACAGCAAACATCTCCTCATGATCCGCTAGCTACATGTCCTCTGAATATGCTGTGAAAAAGTCTGGTCTCTGTAGGCAGCCCAGGCTCTGCAAATGGCAACAAAAACATTTGGGTCCAGGCTGCACCAACCAGCCAGCACGAGACCAGCGAAAGCAAGCACACACACGTGAACGCAGCGCCCAGAGAGGCAGTTAGAGCTACAGGCTAGCCTGGAAATCCAGACCCAAATCTAGAAAGATTTCGGGTCTGGCTATGAGTAATGCAAATGGCCCAACTCGAGGGGCGGCACCAAGCATGCATTTGAAAATATCACTGCACACAATTGGATAACACTACAACCAATCAGAACAATACACAGGGTGACGTATCCAGAGTGCTACCAGCGGAGCTAACTGGTAGATTAGACTCTTGCCGTATCCGGTCAGCAAAACAGCAAAAACGTCCTTCTTGCAAAGGAAAGATTCGAGCGCCGTCTTCTGTTCCTCTTTTAGAGAAAAAGCCAAGTCTAACTCGTTCATTGTAGCGGCCAACGCCATTTCAAACAACTGGTGTTCATCCGTAGCCATCTTGCAATGTTTACTCACTGAATCCGGACTTCGTCGTCGCAGCGCTGTCGTCATGTTTACCTCGCCTTTGGCCCGCCTATATCAGATACACCGATGTGATTGGTACAGCTCGGCTCCAACAGCATGGATAATGAGCATCATTACTGATTGCCAGAGTGACTCGCTGAGCAAATTCAAATTGTGCTCTCGCGAAAACTCTGGATTTCCAGGGTAGCTACAGGCTACAATGAGGCTAAAAACAGAGTTCAAATGACGTTTTTCCAAACAACTTTTTATGTCGGGGCTTCAGGACACTTGGATCACTACGGACGAGCAGTATGGAGATATTTTGTGGTTTCAATAATGTGTTTTTGGACGTTTGAATCTGGGGCGCCGTCAGCCTCCATTAGGTGGAGTTGTGCTGCTACCCCGTCTCCTCTTGGATCTCCGCAAGTGTTATGAGGACTCTAAAACTTCGAGCTAGCTCCATTGTGTTTGATAACATTGTTGAACGTAAACAGAAGTAATGCCCAACGGTGCTTAGCGTGCCTTTAAGTTGTGTGCACTGCTATTTTTCACCACTATAAACTATAAAGCAATCCACTGTCCCACTCACGGCTCTGTCCTTTTAAATCTTAACATCGCTCACACTGGCTGCCAATCAGGGCTTAAAAAAAATCCAAACTCTCCCTTTAAATGGGGCAAAGAGAGCTAAAAAACAAACTCAAAGCACACGTGTTATTTGCTCAAGATAAAATCACACACTGCATTATCAGCTGACACACACCTCTAAAACATTCTTTTTGCTGGATTTGTCCTTTGAGGCCCAGCCAATCGTTGCTCCGCGCAGGTCCACTGTGACCTCCGGAACAATCTGATTGGTCTTGTTCTGCATGGAGAAAAAAAAACAAAAACACATACAGCTGTTTACGAAACTGACGGTGCTGCATTCCAAGAAACTAGCTGAGACTGTCCCCGACAGCTTACGACCTGAGGGCTTGTCTGCGCTGTCACTCCTCATAGAGGTGACAGCGCAGCGTGTTAGGTTTCATTTGTGTCTTTAGGGAGAAAACATGACACCAAAGTGCAGACTATATGAAGGTGTTTAAACTTACAGACAAAAAAAGAAAGAGCAGTTAGTGGTTAATTCTGTCTGTAACCTTTCAGCTCATCACAACCCTCTCAAGAAATGTACAGAATGCAACGTGAGCAGGAACATTCAGGTGTCAGAGCTTCTTATTAATGCAGGATGAGCACTTTCCTCCACATACAAACATGCAAGTCCTTCTATTATTAGTGCAGATCGTACCGAGGCCCCTGCTGCTGCAGACTTTGGGTCTTTGTGGAACGTCAGCACTCCTCCGTGGAGCACTGTCCATGTCTGGGCCCAGTTTTTCCTGAAAATGTGCAAATAACCATCAGTAACACAGAACAAAATGACAGAAGGCGCTGGAGGAGATGACACATGACTCCAAACACACCCAAAAACAGAAACGTGAGAGTGTTTTCAAAGTGATGTTTCAGCTTACCTCACTTTCTTTCCGTTCTCACACACTTTTGTTTTGTTGAGAATTCCGGCTTTCTCTAAGTTCTGCACCTGGGAATGTAAAATATCACAACTTTATTTTCAGACTACTTTAACTGTTAGGTCTATGTGTAAAAGTTTTGTGATATGAGGGACACACACTACTGGCTGAAGTGAACACAACCTTCTTCAGTAAAGCCATGCATTCAGATTATGTTCAACAGCTTTTGCACAATGATGAATATGGTAAATCCTTGAAAAGTAAAAGATTTAATCATCCGCCTGTGTTAAGAGTCGTAGAACAGACGATATTCCGAAGAGGAAGGGGAGAAATCAAGAGAATATTTAGTCTACTCTGTGTATTTGTAATGAGTAAGGCCGTTGTCACTCTATGTTTTTGTTATTGCAGGATGAAATTTTAGATGAAAACCAACAACTCATTAGGCTGTTTCAAAATACCTTATGACTTCCCCTTCCTGTGTCTGCCGACTCACTCTCAACAAAAAGGTAAATGCTTAAAAATGGGTCGTGAATATATAGTTTCATTTTCAAAGTGTGAGTTTACTCTAGCTTCCTCCCACAATCCAGAGACATGCAAGATAGATCAAGTGGGGACTCTAAATTGGCTGTAGGTGTGAATGGTTGTCTGTCTCTATAGCCCCTTTTACACTGCCAGATTTTTGGTGAATGTTGGGCCGTTTTGCCGGCAAGCTGCTAGCGTTTAGACACACAGAGCCAGATTGGCGAGTTGATCCGAGGTGCCCAATTTTCTGCCTCGTAGGGTAGACATACTGGCGGAACCTTTTTGGTTTAAACAGACCGAGGCGGCCTTCCACAACGGGAGGGGCTGTTGATGACGCCGCATGTGTGACCAAACAGGAAACAGCTGATAGCAAGAATGAGCAACTAGTAGCAAGAGGGAAACGCAAACCTGACAGACACTGTAAA